CTACTGACTGTAGCTAACGCGTATGGCTTTGCAACGATAAATGGAATGTATTTCTTTAAACCTTTCGCCATTTTTGTTGTAATGCGTGCTTGGATTAAGGAAGAATCTTTATGATTGCTTTATAATTTCGGCAACCCTTTTTCTACAAAAACGCTGGAACTGGCCATGTTGACCGCCTTGGTAGGTTTGATGTTAATACGCAATATTTATTCATTATGTGTGAGCAAAAACCTATTAACACTATGCCGTCCGGTAGCACCACGCTGGTGCCATGCAAAAACTATCTGTTGTATGCCGGTGGTACCACTTTGGTGCCATTTTAAAAAACTGAAATAACATTTGAACTATATTTCTTGAGTGTTAAAAGGCAGCAAACTAACTATAGCATCGTGCTTATTTAACTAAGAATTAAGTACGAAAATTCTTGGATGACATATCTTTATTTTAGCAATTTATGTTACCGCCATCTTCGAAATTTTTTTTAATATCTACAATTTCCAAGCCATTATGCCGGCGTCAAACGAAAGAATCGTATCTAAGATCTGCGGACGGCATAGCGTTAAAATAGAATATCCATAGAGATACATCCGTTCGGTTGCGATAGAGAATAAAATCTGCCGAGATGAAAAAGAACGTAATAGAAGTACAAGTTACGCGTCGTACAAGATAAAGTTAGTCGTAGATTCTGAACACGGTTTCCAAAAGAAGAGATTTCGAAAAGTTCCAATTTCGTCAAGCAGTCATTGGCAAGACTACGAATGAAATTGAATTGAAAAGAAAACGCCGTACAAAACAAGAAAAAAACGAGTGATGGAAAAGCTAAACGAAGCGACAATAATGGAACAAATAATACAAATAATACGGTACAATGGGATCGAAAAGGTAATAAAGATAGAATCGTGTCGCAGCAGCTTCTCTATATTTAAACCATTATTGTGTACACAAAGTGCTCGCGTTTACCAATAAATAACAACAATAATAATAATAATAATTAAAAGTAGGAGCACGAATCAGAAAAATAGTACAAGGGGGTAGTACAAAAAAAGCAAACCGAAGGATAGGGGAGGAAAAGGTGAAGGGTCATGGGAAGGGGGAGGAAGAAATAGCGACGGTATCGAAGGTATTAAAAGCGGTGCACGAAGTACAAAAAAAAATCTGATGAGTGACAGAACTGAAATGGATTTATTAAGAGACTTGTTCGTTCCCTTTTCCTGTTTTATTTTTGCCGTTGTCCTCCTATCGGATCGCTAATTTTATTGACAAAATACCGTGCAATCGAGAGCCCGTTTACGAGGGCAGCGATCAGAACGATGTCTCAGTTAACACTAAACCTACCAAGCAGTAATACTAACTGGCATGTACGCTGCTTTACAAAAGTGAGAAGACCGTATTTATTTGGAATTTGTAAAGTTTTTATTATAAAACTTGCTCCAATAATATAAAGCGTTTTATAATATTCAATATATTATATTATATTAGCAAGTAATATATTATAATATATATATAGTATATTTATATAATATTCAAGCGTTTTCCAAGAAAGAGCCTCGGAACTTTGCAGAATTGCAAATTAAAAAAGCGGTCACTTTGACCGCGATAGGTTTAGTGTTAAGCGCGTAATTATCGCGAGAGACGTAACCGCGCCGAGGGAAACGGGTGGCACGTGTTTCGCGGGACCGCGGGGACTCGACTTCGAAACGTCGTCGCGTTAATTTCGCGGGAATACGTCGAGGCGCGGCGCGGCTACCGAGACGTTCGGAATATAAGTGGAACGAAACGCGCGAGCCAACCGAACCGTCGAGATCGTGACCGAAGTCGGCGGGAGTTACTTCCGCGGGATCGAGGATAACGAAATACGCGGAGTGGCAGTCCGTTATCGGGAATGCATGGAAAACTCGCAACGAAGGCGAACGATTCGAGTACGCGAAAGTAAACGAGGCCGGGAAGGCGGATCGACGGACGTTCGACAAGCCGATGCGAGCTAGCGACTTTCCATTAATCTCCATCGGTACCGGCCCGTAAATGGCTTGCACCGCAGCTTGCGCCCCAAAATCGATACGGCCCTGCATCGCGTTCCCATTATTAAAGATCCTGGCTGTGCGGCGCAGGGTTACGATTGTTCCCGTGGCTCCGCGGCGGGCTTGATAAATATTCTGGAGGATGCAAGGAGAGAACAATCGCCGAGTAACGACCACGCTCCGCGTCAGCTCGAATCGGCTCCGATCAGCCGAGAAGACGTTTCCGTCCGCCAAGCGCGTAGCCCGCGCCGGCGTTAACCTTTTAGGCACGACGCGCCACTATAGTGGCTTGCTCTAGTAGCTCACTCGCTCATCGTTTGAACCAAATAATCGTCTTCATATGCATTGTTTCACATTTCTTTTGTCTTCGCATCGATTTACAACAGTCAACAGGGTGTCCCAAAAATGTCTCGCAATCCGGAAATGGCGGGTTCCTCGGATCATTTGAAGCAACTTCTTCCTTTACACAAATTTTCTCCGAGGCACCGTTAACGAGTTATTAACGAAAAACAGTGACCAATAAGAATCGAGTACGGCTGACGCGAGGCGGCCCAACCAACCAGCGCGCGAAGCCCAGTTCCGCTCATTGGCTCGATCGCCTCGCGCCAGCCGAGCTCGCCTCTCGTTGGTCACTGTTTTTCGTTAATAACACGTTAACGGTGCCTCGGAGAAAATTTTTGTAAAGGAAAAAGTTGCTTCAAATGGCCCGAGGAACCCGCCACTTTCGGATTGCGAGACATTTTTGGGACACCCTGTATATACAGACAGAATATACAGTATCAGACTCTGTACAGTACATATCAGACTCTGCCGTCCAGAGAAATAGCCTCGCGCAGAATTCAGCCGTACCTAAAAGGTTAAACGAGACCTCGATTATGACAAAATTACAAAAAAGCCACCGATCACCCTAGATTCACTCGTTCGAGTTCCGAAAATTCGGGCTACCCACCGGCGAATCGAAACGGGAAAAGTTTGCCCTTTCGCGAGCGTATCGACGCGATTGCTACCCCCTGCGATCGCGACGCGAACAGGTTTCCTCGCAGACGTTGTTGTCAAATCGATGGATAAAATAAAAAGCGCGAAGTTAACGCGTTCTCGGACGACGACATTGCTCGGTATTCGCGGAAAAATCGCGGACTGCTGCTCGAAGCCGAAACGGACGACGTTGCAAACCGGCTCGCCACGGACCACGCTTCGAAACCGATCGTCCGCACGGTTCCCCAGTTATCCGATAGCTCGAACAATTGTGCTTATTTCGTTCGGTATCGCGCTCGGGCCTATGTATCGGGACGACAATGACCGGGATTTACCTTCAGATCGTTCGGATCGATTACAAATATCCTTGGTACAGGAACGTGATACGCGGCACGGATAGGGGTGGCGGGACGACAGGGGAGAAAACGAGAGGCGGCGAGAGGACGCGAGAGGACGCCAGAGGTGGCGGGAGGAGACGAGAGGAAAAGCGAGTTCGACGCACCCCGTGCACGCCGGACGCGTCTATTTTCTGCCGGCGTTTATTGTTTACGGCCACGTTGCGCAAACAAAACGAGGACTGCGTTGCCGGGGGGGTGGCGCGGATTCGATTTCGCGATCGGTAATCGTTATCTCCGTCGATCGATCGGTTCTTACTTCTTCGATCGAATTATACTGCGATCAGGCACCAAAGGTGCCACCGAAGGAGAAGCACCGAAGTAACGAGGACCCTTCCGTGACGTAGCCCGCGCCAATCTCTATTAGATATCGTCCCGTTAACCCATTAATAGGGGTAGACGAGTCAATTCATCCGTCGTATTTAATCTACCCTCTCCTCTCCGCTCTCTCTCTCTCTCTCTCTCTCTCTCTCTCTCTCTCTCTCTCTCTCTCTCTCTCCGTTTACTTCTTCGACCCTTGCGAGGCGACGACACGAGGCGGCCGCGGCTTCATTATGCGACGTAATACAAATAGTTAATAACATTTCCCACCGCGAGTCGAGATGGGCCAAGGCTCTCTATCCGTATCGTCGAAGGATCGGCTAACGACACCGTATCGTATCGACGGACACCAAGGATTTAAAGGACAAGTTTTGCGCGTTAACAGGTTAAAAGCAGTTGCACCCCCGGTTCGCTTCTCTCGAGAACGCTTTAAAGGGACGGAACTCACGAAACTGTGGTAAACTTTAAATCTTCGCGACCGATTCGCGACCAGTGTCAACGGTCAAGCAGTCGTCGTTTCGAGAATATACGTGTGCCTGTAGTAGCGCGGCCGCAGAAATATTTGATTGCAGCCGTACGTGCCCGAAAATTCAATGCCAACCCGCCTGCGAACGGACACGAATTTAATTGCAGGGTAAACGCGACACGCGAGCTCGCCGGGAGAAATTAGCGAGAGAGAGAGAGAGAGAGAGAGAGAGAGAGAGAGAGCGGGTCGGAGGCGTTTCCATTAGAATTTTCGTGGTTCGACCCCCGTGTCGAATGAATGAAAACTCGGTGGTACGGCCCGTTCCTGCGTTACCCTCGTGCCTCGGCTTGTAAATCACTCGAGATCCGACTGGAAACGAGCCTTATGGAGGACCACGATTGCCTGTATTTTCTGGAAAAATAAGTGCTCTCAAAAACGCTAGTAAAACTACCACCACCGCTGCCGCCGATAATACGTCGGTATCGCGTGTACACGACACAAATATGGTCGAGAGTCGGCGCGTGTAAAAAGACCTCTAACCCCGAGGAGCCACGAGATCGCCGATGGCTTTTCTCCTGGAATATATCGGGGCTGTTCGGAGAACTGGCATCCTCCGTGAAAAATAAGGCGGAATATAGCCGTGCACGGAACGTGAAATTCGGCAGCGCGTACCCGCAAGATATATCGTCGATCGCAGAGGGTAATGAACCCCGCTGCTTTGTGTATCGAATCGCGTTATACGCGGAAAAATGAAAGCAACTCGGCCCGACGAACAGTCGCAACGGAGTACGACGAAGGAGGGAACGAGAAATTGACGATACTCACCGCAATGCAGTGAACTCCGCGGCAGTTTTCCACGTAGGTGGTCGCAGTCGTCGTGTAACGGGGGTTGAACGAGGGCTGGTGTTCGTGACAGGAACCGCATAACCAACAGTCACGTTTCGTATCGGCACATTGAGAACAGTCACTTTCTCCGGCAAGGCACACACGGCTCGGTCTCTGGCGTGCAACGGCTCGTGTTTTCTTTCACGGGGACGCGGGCCGCAGCCAACAAAACGCGGAATTACAGAGAATTTTTCGGGCTCGCCAGGGCCGTCGAATCGATGTGTGATGTTACACTTCCCAGCTGTCTTTTTTGATTCTGCGGATGTGCTCGCGGCCAACGCCATCTGCCGGCGTCCCCGTGAACCGTCCTGCTTCCCTCTCGTATTACCGGGAATATTTGAACGGTCGATGACGATATGCGTCGGGTTCATTGAATCACAGCCGCGTTCGTTCGCGTTTCGATTCCTGGTTGTCTCTTAGAATCCTCGTCGACCGAGTCAATTTTGCACGCGCTTCCAGTTTATTATTTATATATTATATATATATATTATTATATATATATATTATTATATAAATATATATATTATTATATAAATATATAAATTATTAAATATATATATATAATTATATAAATATATATATTATTATATATATTCCACTTTATTCGCTTGTTTCTCTTATTTTTGTCCCGCACCGTATATCATCGTGTCGTAAATAATTTCCGTTTCAAAGAACAAATTGTAACAACGCATTTGTCGTCCCAATGACTCGTTCTATTCGAGCTATTCGATAAACATACGAAAATCGATTTTCTTGCATTTCATTTATTTTACTAACGATTCTAGGTCCAGCTTGGTCCAACTCGACCTCGGCCACGCTGTTGCGAAGAAAAGAATTGTTTCAGTAAAATCAAACACCGATACGCTTCGTGATAGAATTTATTTGCATGTATAGTCTCGTTTGCCACAGGCTCGTACAAGAACATTCAATAATTTCGAATTTTTTTTAATCGTAATGTTAGTACTTGGTACTTAAACGTTAAAATGCGAAACTTCGTCGAGTTTGTTTATTAGTAAATAGTTTTAATTGCATAGCAAGTACGCGTTCCTTAAAAATGCCGTCGTCGTTCCTGTAATCGGTATATTACAAGGTTACGCGTGTGTCCTTTATTGTATTTACATAGCGATCGGGTGGAAGTGAATCGTAGCATAATCGAGTCAACGCACACACGTGTTCGTAAGTAGACAAATCCATTGTGTGTACACAAGATTAAATAATCTTACGAGGAAATTAAGTCGTTCTCTCCTTTGAACTTACAACTCCTTTTTTACTTACAAAATCTTGCAAGGTGTTTCAACGAGCGTAATAAATACAATCGCAGGAAATTCGTTAGCCGAGCTAGTAAACGAGATTTAAAACGAACGGTCGATCGGAACTGTATATGGAGATCCGACAACCCGATTAACGAAGGTGACTATAGTTTTGCTTTAATATTAGAAGATAGATTAAAAACCCTTAACGTGCTCGTAAAGACGAATACTATAAGTCTGAGACACTTCTCCGTTTTAGCAGTATTTATCCGTTTACAGATACATGTATGTATGTATGTATGTATATGTACACCATAATAAAACGTGAAATACACGAAATTCGAAGCAACCAGATTTAAGGCCACCAAATTTCTGTTATAATAATAATATTTATTATCTAACAGGACGTATCTGTTTACAATAAAATAAGCTGTACAAACAGGATGGAATGTTTCGTTAGCTTCGAGTGCTAAACACCTTCTAGAATGTTTATTACATTCTTGGAATAGCTATTACGGTATATCCTTGTTAACGTCTCGTTTCCATCCTCGTCGTCCCCTCGCGCATCCGACGCACATACTCCTTTCGTATACCATTCATCCCCCGGCCACGAGATGCTACGGAATACATATGCGGCTGCCAGCAGATACGAAATAGCGTCTCGTCGGGTTACGCGACGCTAACAAGGAAATACTGTATCGTATAAAGTAGGCATTTACAAGGTCACGTTTTTATCGCGGCGTTTTGCAATCAATTAACTTTATGCATCGAATAGAACTTCTGATAACACAATCGAATATATCCTATTTTCTTTTTGTTCACATATTGTCAAAATGTACAAATAGTTCAATTTCATCGATCAAGCAATTTCATATTTATCTTTTCACCTTACTTAATACTATACATATACAATGATCTAATCAAAATTGAATTAGTCACCAGACGTCCTTAGAAGAATGCACAAGAAGAACACTGTCCTATATCCGAGTCAAATAAATAGTGTAACAGATACGTCTGTCGCGATAAAGAATTTCTACGTTTCCTATCAAATTCCTGTATATTCTCTAAAATTAAACAACGTCTTTTTTTGGTTTTTAAATAAATCGATCGGTCGAAAATACAACAAAATATGTGTAACACACTGACTATAATTCTTCTTGTCATACCTTCTAATAGCATTACGCATTTCTTTTAGAATCTTCTTCTTCTCCCTTTGATTTTTGTCAGCATATTTCTCTTTTATATTGGTACAATGCATTCCCTCGACTCTATTACCGTAATAGAAGATCTACAGAATAATTTCTTAATCAAGTATTCAACTATAGTTTTATGCGAAAGAAAGTAAAATTTTGTTTTTGTGTTATAACTTACAGAAAGAAATATAAGTCTTCTACTGTACATTGTTACAAAGCATCGAACAAGACGAACTCAACTTTAATGCGAGAGCTCTTCAGAGTCAACGGCTTGCGTTTTGGACAATGAAAATGTACAGTCGAAGTTCAAAAGTGTTAATACGTTAAAATTTTTTAAAATTACATAACATCATTGTATATAAGCTAAACTCCTAAGTTTTGTTTTTAGAATTTCCTGTCCTTATTATCAGTTTTTTTAAATGCTTTATAATTTTGAATAATATTTAATTTTTTTAAGTTTTCTGAACTTATAGATACTGCCCGCATATTCTCTCATTCGGTAACATCTTTTCGCGCAATCAACAAATCAGAACAAGCAATTATATCGATTATCAGCTTAAAGTTATTTACAATTAATATCAGAATATTATTCTTCTATTATGACAACCAAAATGTTTCCTCAAAAAATCCTTTGAAAGTGTAATAGTCAAAAATAAGCAACTACATTTAAAAAGTGTACAAGTTAATAAACCGTAATTCGTCAATTGCTCAAACAGCATTCGAAATTACTTGTAAACTTTTCTGTTAAATATATTATTACAATTTTTTAAAAGTGCATATTGCATAAGGTTCTTTTGAATTACTGGTAACAGTTATGTAATATTTAAACACACCTTTTCATTGATTTGTCTTAATGATGTAACTAGCAGTCACGAGACACCTAAGTCCTTTGGAGTGCAGAAAAATGTTAATCCTGTTAAATAGTTAATCGTATTAGACAGTATACAGTATACATATACATATATGTATATAAATATATATGCCCATATATGTATATCTATATATATACATATGTATATATATACACATATGTATAAATATATAAACATATGCGCGTGTGTTTGTGTATGTATTATATTACAGAATCATCATAAAAAGGGGGTGTATCTCGTGCTAATCCACTCCAGCAAATCCTTGTGAACCTTCGATTGCTTTTATTAATTTTTCCCTGAGTTGTTGATAACTTTCGTAAGGAGGAAGGTCGATGCGATTAAAGCTAAAAAAAGAATATTCGACATTAGCTAATGGTAACGCTGTTGCACTCTTTTTAGTCTGATTTGACCGAGTTTAACGCAAGAAACAGTTTAATAAAAATTCATGTACTCACCAAGTATGAGCTCTTGGATAGTTCTCCGGTGTACCCCATTTCTCGATTGTGAACAATTGTGGTCCGTTGCTACCATAAATCTCTTTAAAACCGTTCATCGGTACACGCGAAGTGCCGGTAACAAACTGCAAAAGTCTAGAGCGCATTTCGTTGCTAAATGAAAGCACTACCCGCCAGAACCACTGAACGACTATGTGATTAGCATGGTAATCCCCTTTGTACAAAGTATTTTGTTTCCAGTCTTTCACGTCAATGTGCTGAATACCACACATTAGCAACTCCAATTCATGCTCGTCAAATATTTTGACCAATGTCGGTGGAATAAGAGCATTGAATCCCTCCAGAAATGCATTCATCTGTTCCTGAACTCTCGATACGAACCGCCACTGTATAACTAAACTTATATACTCATCTTTGTTTTCATCAGTTAGCGGTATATTAGCACCATCCGGCTTGAGTTCCCTCTGCGAAGTATGTCCAAAACTTTCTTCATCGACGCAGAATGTGAGTTCCAACTCGCTGGGATCGTTTTCTTTGATCCATAACAGCGAATTATAATACTCGGAATCAACGCTTTCCATGTCTTTTAAATCGATGGGTTTGCCCAACATCATCTTATAAAATGGTCGAATGAAAAAGGCTGTAATCAGACAATTGTTTTCTTAGTATCTTATATTGTATAAAAAGTATTCTATACTTCCATATAATAGAATATTTACCATCTAACAATTTCCCGTGATATACAGCCATACCCGCTATACGGCCGATAAATTTGAAATAATTTAAATGTCCTTCGTTGCATACGCCCGAGAAAGGATTAATTTGTAAAGTATAGTTATCCCTGCAAATATTTTAATTCTAATTAATATAGACCAATACTACTATAGAGATATGTATAGCCTATCGCATAGTGCACACTTACGTAGCAGAATATTCAAACAACCCATAGTAGGGATTGAACATTTCTTTGGATAACAGGAAAAACCATTCTCGCGCAAGACCTCCATAATCTAGACCAACTTCTCCTTCGAATTCGATCCATAATTTTGTTTTCAATATTTCCACCCTATTAACGAAACTAATTCTACGATAAGAATCTTCTAGGATATTATTCCGGCAAACCTTTATTTCGAATTTACTAGGAACATTGTTCTGAAAGAATAACATGGATTATAGTATGTAGCAAACAGTAATCAACTAGAGTGATCTTTTTACTTTGCATCAGGACATACTTACGGGCTTTATCAGCTGAGACTTGAGATACTGGTATTTTCGTTTGTAATCTCTCGAATATGGGACAGCCTGTAAAAGCAATAAAATGCTTGCTGTCAAAGTTTCATGTCTATAATTACAAATTTTTCACATACCGGACCAGCAATTTGTGGATTCGACATGCGTGGATCCTCCCATTGAGTTGTTCTCGTATCTGAAAGGAAGCAAATTATCTTGTGGTGAAAGCGAACATTTTTAAAACTTTCTATAAAATGTAAACGTACTGTGATCGATGAAAAATATTCTTCCATCTGTGTGTACTCTTTCTTCCCATCCTTCAGGCAGAGGCCCAAGTTGATCCATATCGCTTCTCGGTGTTGTGGATGGTGCAATATGATTAGGAATTGAACTTGGACGCCCAGTTCGGGGATCAATCCACGTTGTTGTCCTCTGATAATGATCGATGAAGAAAACCCTACCATTTGGAGCTGTTTGCATACCCCATCCTGGTGGTAATCCTTCTGCGGTGAAGTCAGGAAGGCTGGGTTTCGGACTTTCAGTCTTTGGAATAAAGTGACAATGTTCACAAATCAATAAATGTATCAATTAATTTGTCAACAATAATCATACTCGCCTGTTCAGACGAACGCCTAGAACCAGCTGGGCTGTCCACGTTATCGTCACTCTGTAAATGTAATATCAAAATATCTCTTCATAAAACGTTACGCTAGTATCCGAGTAAGGATACATCTACACCACAAATGGATTGATTCAATGTTGGCAAGCTAATGTGCAATGTGACGAAGTACATTTTAGATATCTTGAATTTGTTAATACGTTAAGAGCATTCTTCGCAACGAAAGTTGAACTTAACGAAATAATGTTATATACTAATTTAGAAAATGAAAGGTTACAGTTTCGAATGAACATGCACAACAATCACATTTTGATAATAAAAGATAAAAGATAAAATAAATATCAGGTATAAAAGACATCTGTTCTCATACGTAAATGCGTGATTCATAATTAGTAATCTTTACAGTATACAGATGTATAAAACAAATCATAGTGCATTCTGTGGTAAATGCAATTTTTTAATGTGTATTGATTACCATTTGATAGACAAATATATACAAAAAAATATAAACAGAAGCATTGGAAACAGCATGTCTACATGTATGGGTACCTGGTCTTCATATCCACTATGGTAGCCACGTTGATCAACAGAACGTCCAGAGTCTGAAGACGTATCCCCAATAACCCCTCCCCTATGATTCTCATTCTCATAATCTCTTGCTTCCGAATCTTCATCTTCCTCGCGGAGAACTTCACCATCCTTACACACACATGCACAAAATTGCTACATACTGCATGCCAATTATTCTTTTTGTTAGAAATTAATCATGTTGACAAGTTAATTATGCTCATCGGTGTATTTATTGCTAGATAAATGATATTGATTAGTAAACTATGCTTATATATATTTGATTACGGTATTAAGCTATTATGATAGATGCATACTACAGCGTCTGTCAGTCGTTAAACAATGTGAAATGCATTCGTGGTTATTATAAGCTGACCTACAGAAATAAATGATGCAGTTAAATATGATCAATTTTCTGTTTGCATTCCTTTATGATGTTACACAGGAAGTATCCTGTAATACAACCTTAATCTACTTATACATTATTTTACATGTGAGTATAGACAAAAATTCCATCACCAAAGATTTAGATGCCCTATATTTTGTGCGTGTGTGTGTTTCTGTTTACACACATATACCTAACATGATTTAAGAAGTCACATTAAAACCTCTGCTATAATACTTTTTCATGATATGGAGATTTGAAAGCAAAGAGTACTGATTCTTTCACATTATAGTCTACGCAAATGACCGAATAATTGGTAATTATAATTGAGTAAAATATACGACATAAAATAACGTATATAGAACGTATGTGTAAACAGAATTAATATCATACGAAATTAAGATAAAAAAAGTGAATAACACACACTACATTTTCTTATATATTATCAAATTTCCATTTAAATCCATTTGAAATGGAGATTTGATAATATATAGATACTCCTAAAAGTTGTTATGATAAATTTTCTTGCTGCTTTCTTGTTTTTACAGTTCTTTCTTACTTCGAGGCATTAGAATGTTATCCATGGGGTCTACAAAAGCCATCAACATTACCTGATTAATTGAACTTCTGTGTCTGTTTTCATTATCTGCACTAATATGAAAACGTCGTTGAAACTCAGTGACTGCGGTACTGAAATTTCGTTCCACTGCCATATTTCCAGTAGGTGAAGTATTTCTATAATTAGATTTTATGATTTCAAAAACGCATATATTATTAGCTAATCTCCTAACGTATAATATCTATGACATACGATTCCGAAGGTCTTTCCCACTGTGTGAATCTTGCTATATGATTAACATAATATGTTCGCCCATTCGCATCTTGTCTTTCTTCCCATCCTTGCGGTAAAGGTGCTAGAGGTGTATCGAAAACAACCTAAAAGATATTTTGTATTAAAAGGACGATTATGACTTTCAAAAATAATTAATTTAATATGTAGTGTATACGTAACTGTCTGTGGAGGTCGGTTAGCATTTACCGGTTGTACCATTTCCCACCCTCCTGAGTCAGATGTTGCATCTTCATTGTCATTCTCTGTCGTTGTTGAATCCGAAATATATGCATGGTATAGATCCAACGTGCCTTTTACTCTCGAACGCTGACTGGAATGATTTCTAGCCATATCCTCGTAAATTATTCATTTTGCATTTGCAAATGAAAGATAAGAAACGAATATTTCAGTGAACCAAATATCAAAATCAGTGAATTGCAAACAACAAATTGAATAAATGATTGAAAGAATTTATTTAAAGCAATACAAATTAATGTGCAAAAAATGAAGAAGCAACGGCAAATAAAAATAAAGATAATGTAATGTAGAATTAGAGTACAGTACCTACTGTTTATGAGCAAATTATATTGAAAAAGAAGCTAAACAAGTAAAATTTACACAAATATTTGAAAATATACAGCTTCAAGCACACATTAAACAGGTACTTACCTACGTGGTCGAAGTAAGTAACGTCTATTAGGAATTGTTTGACCTGCTTGTTCTTTTGGTAAATAATTTAATGGTAATTCTACCCGACCAAGAAAATCATCTCTTGTCAATCTATTTTCATCAAATACTTGTAGTACCAGCTTATGTTCAACAGGTTTCACCTAAAGAATAACGATAATTTGTTATAATCTCATGTATGACACAGCTATACAAGATGATTGTTAACTATCTCAAATATATCAACAATAATTTCATGCATGATTCGCGAGGGAATTACTTTATGTTATTGCCAACATATGTTAACGATAAACTTACTCTAAATATAAATTCCTCTTCCCAAACAGGATTCAAAGTCTTTTTTTTAGTTTTTGTAAGCGCAGAATCCACTGTATGATTGCCATTTACAGTATTTAAATCAACACGTACATAAGGATCGCTTGCACCAAAGATGTCTTTTTTTGCCAGTTGGTGCCCAGCGACCACCTTTAATCTCAGCTTTTTGGTGGTCTCATCTCCCTATAAAAGCATAAAAATTTTAATTTGCTACCATCTTATTTTGGTAAAATTGCAGAATTATTTTATAGAAACTTCCTCATAGTTTATACCATTGAATAATCGTTATCGTGCACCTATTTTAAAGACAGATCATCACGTTAAAAAAACAATCTTCTACTTTGTACGTATATGTATATCAATATAAAGGAGTAAGTATTGACAAACGTGATTCGCATTTTGAAGTAAATAATCATTGAACAGACAACAGCATAGCTTATCCTTGGATACGTAAAACATTTTTCCATATACAGAATGGTATTACTAATCGTAAAATCAATGAATTTCTCAAAGTAAAACACCCTTTCTGAAGTCTATCAATCAAGAATCCAACCTGTACTTGTCAAACTGTCAAAATAGTTACGTACAGGCTCCTCGTCAACACCGGATGGTGGATTATATCCGTAAACATGTTCGTCTGCCATTAACGTTATGTGTAAACAATTTGTTTCGAATCGTCGACTTCTGTTTCCTACAATTTAACGAGGTTCACAGATTCTTATGTGCCATCAAGAAATCTATTTTGTCTTAACCCCTCTCCGTCACTATTGCACGAACGAAACGGATGTGACATACTCGCGCTTAAAGATGGCCGTCTTCCTCCAAAATATTTAAATATCGTGAAACATTCTCATTTTGTTCAACTTTCGTGCAAATCAATTTGATTTGAAGCATAAAAAAATTATGCTCATGTTGTGAAATGACTGTTTCTTTATTTTTCATATATTAGAGAAAACTAAGATCTTCAGAAAGAGGTACAACGTTCTTAAATATCATCGAAAAAAACAGGTTGTTCCTAATGCGCCTGCGATCATCCTTTCCAAATTTGTCTAAATTATTTTCTTTCGTTACTGTACGCGATAAGATCAACAGCCTTGTTGAAACTACAAGAATTTAATTTTTGATGTGAACAGAAACGTCTCGCAACGTTGTCGCAACATGGTACATAATCGTTTGAAATATGTTGAATGTGATTCATATGCTTTGGAGTGCACCTTACTATCAGAACTTCTTGACCAAGGCATTGTCTTGAAATTGACATAGATTTTATGATAGTAATAATAAAATGATTAAAGTATTTTTTGCGATAAGCATTCTTTTATTCAAGTTGATGAAGAAACAGTTATAGTCAATATGCAGGAATAAGTAATTTTTAAGGGGGTAACCGAAGAAACATTTCACAGTTTTAAACACATATAAAGTAATATATTTCTTTATTTACCATAGGTTCAGGTAGTGAAACTCGATCAGGTCTTACATTAGCTCTTGATGCTAGAGATGCGGGACGATCTTGCGAGTTCCATGTGTAAGATCTTGGCCTTTGAGGAGATGCTTCTACATCAGCATATATCGGGTAGGTCAAAGTTCCCGGCATCTTGAAATCTTAATTTTGTAGTATTTTATGCACATGTAATATTTTACATAAATAAAATTAATATCTTTAACTGATGTTCTGTATCTTCTAATACATTTCGTTGCACGTATTTCTTTAGTAGGTATTTTGTTCTTAAAACACTTTATTTGTATTTATGAACAACACGGCTAAATATATATGATCAAAACGCAATAATTGTCTGTATCACAGTTTCACTGCTCTGCAGAAACTATCTGTTCCAGAAGTTTCAGATAAAATTACTCTTTCCAGATATGAGACACTATAAAAATCTTTACACATGCGTAATCATATGATTCATTAACTTGAATATATTATTTACACTGTTATTTTATAATTAATTATTATACTGTGTCTCTTTTATGTTTAAGCTTCCAAGTATAGCAGTATAGCAATCTGCAATCGACCATAATTGCAAACACATTACTTTCCTTGATGAATATTAAATGTGAAATTCATTCAAGATAAGAAAAGTGCTTTAAATCATCGACGCGATAACGAGATACTTCAACACGAAATTAACTAACACATTGAAAGTGTAACAAATACACACTCAGGTAACTGTTCTATGAACTAGAGTAAGATCAAATAAAAGATATTTACAAAGTCATTAAAATTAAGATAATATGCATGTAT